TATAATTAGTGCTCTAAGTTTGATGATTATAACACATTTTTATCGCTATTTTAATTTGTTTTGTAGCTCTTTATATGCTCTACGCTATATTTTTTTAGTAGCTCTGTTCTGTAATTGTTATCTAGTTTATTGTAGGTATACGTTGTAGGCTATAAACTATTACCTTCAACAATATATATTAAAGAAAATTTTATATAAAAATAAAATCTATAAAACTCTTACAAACTCGAATCCAAACCAAATCTTAGATAGAAACATCACGTACTACTACACAATAAAAATGCTAATCACAATGAATAAAGAGAAACAAACTTCTTCCTCAGTGTACTTGCCCTTCTAAGCTTCCACTTGCTTGAACAAGTTTCATTCTTTTCTGCATCACCAATTTAAGCATAGACAACAACAATTGAACAAATCTAAAGTTCTTCCATAGAATTAGTCATACATCAGATCGACCATCACCAGTTCTATTCTAAAGCTTACCACTTTCGTGAGTAATCATCATCATCATCTGAATGCTTATGTTCTTGCTTAATAGATCCACCATATGATCCAGAATTGAACTTTACTTCTTCTTCATGCACAATCCCACAACCATTTTTCTCTCCAGCAATACAAAAATGTTCTGGTTCTTGCGGTAAAACTCCAAATTGTCCTTCAATGTTGAAGACTTGTTCTGGTTCTTGCTACAAATACAGAATATGTGAATCTCATAGAATATTATTCAACATTTAAATTTACGAGATCCATAATTAACACAAATTATTTTGTTAATTACCTCAAGGTGTAGCTGTCTGTGGTTTCCACATCGACATGGGCTTCAATCAAAGTTTGCCACTTCAATCAGAGGCATATGTTCAAAATTTAGAGCCAACACAGAAAAATACAAGTCATCACCATCGAAATTAATCTGAATGAGACCACACTCTTTTAACTATCACATCATTTTAAGTAACTCCAAAACCACCAAATTCGGATTTTCCTTTAACTCAACCTAACAAGCATTAAACCTTTAGAACAACAGATCGAGCAATTGTCACTACAAGAAAACAGGGCCATTTGCGGCACGAGTTTTAGACGGTGAGATCTTGGTACACCCTAATTTCTTCAGTATATGAATAAGGAATTACCTTGGTACGGTGAGATCTTGAAACTGTCATCTCAACATTTCTAATGTTGTATGAAGCAAGAGCTCTGAAAAATCTATAAATCTTCATAGTAAAAAATCCTCCGAAAGG